CGGACAACTTCTTGTATTCTTCCCAGTCTACCTGTCCCTTCTTCCCTTTTCTGTAAATTCTTTTTTTGTCTTTAAGTGTGCCCAGGAGCTTCTTGTTCATCCACGCAGGCCTCCTGACATTCTTGCCTGCTTTCCTCTTCTCTGGAATGCATTATGTCTGGGCATTGAGGAGGTGGTCCTTGAATATGGAACAGCTTTCTCGGGCCCCTTCCCCTTCATGTCCATGGTACACCACTAAGCAGACACCTGAAGTGGTCAAAATATGGTCTCCTCAGTGTGGCAAGCTTGCTGCACACTCTCCTTGTTGCCCTGAGGGTCTTGAATTCTAATATTTCCTGGTTGCTGCAGCCAGGACTTCCCTTAAGCTTCACATTATCCAGTCCCTCCTTCTTGGTGAGATCAAGGTCCAGCATGGCACCCTTCTCACTGGTTCTTCTGACACCCGGATTGCTGGCACCCTACTGTGCTATCCTTCTAACAGATATCAGGGTGATTAAAGTCCCCCATGAGGACCAGGGCTTGTGAATGTGAAGCTGCTCCTATCTGTCTATAGAAGATGGCCTTGTTCTTATATGTCATATTCAGTATAAAACTCACGGATCAGGAGGGTTTAGGTCTCTCTCTTTCTTCTTTTCTGCAATGGCTGGTGTCATTGCAGGGAGGACTCTGTCCTATTTTCTGCCTTTGATGTTGATCCCAAGTTCTCGAATCCAGCTCCCATGTCCAGCTCACCTCTGCCTCTGAGCCTGGGACTTTCCCAGTGCCACCTGCTCTGCAGCACCGCTGGGGATTGCTGATGGGGGATGGGGAGGAGCTGGATCTGATACCGGTTTTGAATACATGTATATAGTTCAATATTTTTATTATTTCCTTATCCATTAAAGCTGGTTTAATTTTCTTTTTCTTTTCTTTTTTTTCCCCCAATCTGTAAGTCTCTTTTCCTCATTCCCTATTCTTTCCCGCTTGGGAATGGAGAGGGGCTTAAAGAATGTCTGACAGCACTTAGTGGCTGGCCCAGCTCTAATCTGTGACATCTCCACGGAAGGGGTTTGTTCCTTGGCTGGGCACTTTATTCTGGAAATACCCGCACTGGCCTGTCTACTTGGATGAAAATCTGAGACTACCTAGGAAGAAGACATCCCAGATGGTGATGTGGGGCAAAAGGCAATTTTCAAAGTGACCAAATCATGTGTTAGCATGAAACTGTCATTTTTCAGCAGAGCACCTGAAAGAGAGACAAAAAGAAGAGGTGTACAAAGAAAAGCTCCACCATGGTCCTGTCCTCTGCAGAACAGTGCAGAGTAAATTTTCGCTCATTGTGGTGGAGAGATGCCAAGAAATCTATTAACTGGAAGACAGATATCTCTAACTATTCATGAAACTCTCAAAAAATTCCGACTTCCTTTTTATTTATGTATTTATTGAAAAACATTGTATTAAATGTCCCTCTGCAAACAGCTTGTAAAAGGAAAAAGTGATAGGTAGATAAATGAATGCTTTTTCACACTTTGTGCATTGAATTTCATTAACTGACTTCTGCAAAGGTATTTGCAGTGCAGAGAAATAAACTGGTGCACAGATCTTTGTGGAAACAAAGTTTCGCCTGCAATCTGTGAAGGCCAGGGACTGCTTCTGGTTATTAGTTGCGTAGGCTGCTGGGACCTCATCTCTGCAGAGGCCTTGAGGCATGATGACAAATAACAACAGCTGTAAATGACAATTAGCTGTATCTCAGTTTTGTTAGGAAACAAACGTCAACCAGCAGTAACCAGCAAACTCATAACTGCTGGGAGTAAAAATTAAATGCGCATTTTACCTCTATAAGGAAAACTTGAAAAATGGTTGGGATTAAAGAAAATTTGATGTGGCTAGTATTTTGTTTCCACTGATTTCTCCCTATACAAGATGGACACAGATGATCTCCAGCTCCCCACATATGTTGTTTGTTACCTGCATGGCATGTGTAGCTGGAAAAGAAAACAACTCCACTTTGTGCACAGGTACCCCCTCTACTCCCATTTAAAATGTAAATTTAGATCTGTTCACTTTAGAGCACTGTAGCTTACTGTGGCTCTTAACAAAAATTTATAAAGCAGAGGAAAAGAAATGCTAGGAGTAGTTCGGTGATGCTAAAAATGTAAAAGCATTATTAACATTTAGCAGCCATTGCTGTCAGCGTCATTTCTAAATGTTGTATTTGGCAAGTAAAAGGGAAAGATTAATTTTTGGACTTGTATGGGATGGTACAGTTTCAAAGTCTCCGTAACACAGCCCAGATAGGAGTCCAGTGATGTAGAGGCCTCTGGTCACGTCACTCCAAAGAGAGAATTTTACCCTAAAAGACTAAGTTGCATTTCTATGGAGCAGACTAACTGGATGAGATTGGACTTAAACAAAACAAAGGAAATATTTGTAAGTTCAGCCATAGGCCAGGATTTCTCTGTTCCCATGTAGGATTGTTGTTGTTTCATTGTTGTGTTGTTGTTTTGCCCTGTTGTTGCTAGCTCCAGAATTCCTGGAAGATCTTTAACACATGCTCGGTGACTGCTACTGCCTTTATTCATCTTCAGAGGATCACTTGTCTAGGGATCTTTGCTCCATATCAGCCCTCATGTACCTGAACATTTCCATTATCACCCCATGCCAAACCACCAGGATTCAGTCACCTGTAGCTCTGGCCAGTTTTATGCCATTTGCGTGTCAGAGGAAGCACTGCTGAACTGTGTACGTTCATTGCAGAAATGACGGTTAATAAGTGGTTGAAACCAAGAGGCTCAGCAAACAAAGGAAATTCCAGAGATCTCCAAGTACCTTTTACTGTGATATGTTATGACTGCACATTCCTCTTCTTCAAACTGTGCCTTTAATGCAAAGCTCACATCCACTCTGCTGATAACATGTCAAAAAGTATCTGGAGTCACGTTCCCAGGGCTTCATCATCAGTTAGATTCTCCCCAGCTTGATTATTTATATTTTTTCTCTTCTGCTCATGCAGATGTTGCCTCCACATCAGTCTTTCCACAGCAGTAAGATTGATTGCAAATGTGCTTCATGTAAATATTTATGCTGGAAAACAGGGAGTACAAATGACTTGGCATTTTTGAAAAAGATGATGTCATGTAGACCTCTGTGCTAGGATGGGGCAAGACAGAGTTAGTTAGTCAGAAGATTCTCTCAAGTCTGACACTCCTCTAAAGCTTCCTGGAAAATAAGCTCTGATTTTGGTCTTTCACTGTAGGCAGAGACTTGGTGGATAATAAAATATTTCTGAGGAATTAATAATGTCAGTACCCAACAGTCATAATTCCCTAAAGAAATGACTCTACCTGTACCTAAATTCCCTGGGCTGCTGCTGGTGTTGAAATTAAACATTCCTTTTCTCCCAGAGTATAAATGTCAGTCCCAGTGTGGATATTCAGGTTTATTTGGAGGTCTGTTTCCAGGACAAGGCTCCGCTTTTTTTCAGTGTGCTGCAGTGGTTCTCAAACACCAATAACCTCATTGGCAAAGAGGGGCATTTTTAGTTCCCATTGCCAACCTCCCCTGCTCCAGAAAATACATCTGTTAAGAAAAGAAATGCTACCAGCAGAGCAACAGGTGGCATATTGCAGCCAATCATGAAAGGTTATAATAAGACAGAGGGAGTCGGAGAGAGAGAGGAAAGAAAATTAAAAAGAGAGGATCTAAGATGAAGGAGAATCTGATGGTAAGCATTTTTCCCACTCCTGCCCTTACACGGTAAGAAATTTTAAGGTCTGGTGACTTTGCAGCCCTGGGGTAGGGTATTGCCCTGGAAGCACATTTGCCCATTGTACTCCTCTCTGTTTGCTTAGAAGGAATTCAGAAAGGATTTTCTTTCTCTTGTTTCACAAGCCCCACGCTTTCACACTGACTGAAGTGGATACGCACCAGCTGGCCATGTCTATCACCGCCGCCGGGTGGGAGAATTCCTGATTATACTTAGATCCCGCAGACCCCATTCTGTCGTTAGGGGAGAGGTTCTGCTCACACACCGCCGTCCGAAATGCAGCCGTCCAGGGTCTCCACACGTCTTGCCTGAAGGAGCCAGATGCCTTCTGGATCAAACATGAATGACTTGTTGAAGGTGCCCCTGGTGCACGTCCTCATATTGGCAGCCCTCAGCTTGGCCAAGACACTCCCGAAAGGTTTGCTTGAAGAGGATTTTGCTCTGTTTCGCTTCTGCTACTTGCTGAAGGAGGTTTAGCAAAGGGGAAGGCATCTCTGGTAACGGTGGGTTGGGTGGTGCCGTAGTGTCCCAGAAATGTCAAAAATACGTTGCTTTCAGTGGCCACTTCACTGCTTTTAGAAGGATAGAGGTGAAAATAATATGGTATTTGTGTCTGGGATTGAATTTTTTTTTGTCTAGGAAGAGCAGGTAGTCCCACTGCAATGGACAGGGGAGTCACCTGGGTAACACTGGCATTTCTCATGTCAAAGGCAGCTTACAGGTTTTAATTGCTGGTAGCGCCTGTTGTTGCTGAGCCCAAGATTTGTGGTATTCTGTGTGCCTGTGAATGCTTATAAAAATATAAAGCTCAAAGAGGAAGTAAAATAGCTATAACATGTTTACAGAGTGTATGTATATAAATAAAAACATGCATGGTTTTGTATTGCCTATAACATAGAAGTTATTATACTTGTTTCCTCTCTTTTGTGCACACATGAATGTAGACGCACACACTTCTAGCCAACATGAGAACTGAAAAATATCTATTTAGAGAAATCTTTGAGGTATAAAGTGCAACACTAGTATTCTGAATGCACTGTCTGGCAACTCTCTGGACAAAAGGTTTTGCTGCACAGTGATTGTCAGGAGCCATTCAAAGCATACCAGAAACTTTGCTGCTTTGGGAAAACAAAACGAAACAAAACAAAACAAAAAACAACACCTCAAGAAGGATGCCAGTATTCATCTTTTAAGCCAATATCACTGCTTTCACAGGGCTGTGCTCTTATAATTGCTAGGAAAAATGAAAAAAAAGAGGTCTATTATTTATAAAAAACTTTTGAAACATAAATGTTAATTTTTTCCTAAGGTGTTAAAGTAAGTTGGTGAACGCCTATCTTTTTGAAAGGTGTGGTAAGATGGAATTGGAGAGACAAGAAATACAAAGAGGAAAGGGATTCATTTTTTTCTGGTGGTACAGTGCAATGAAGAGATACACATCCTTTCCTAAAATGCCACAGGTGGCTGAATTGTCTTGTTCCCTGAGAGAGGCTGAAATGCAACTACAGCCCAGCAGTACCCATAGAGATTCTTCAGCATTAGCTAGAAACAAAACTGAGCAGGTTTTGACCAGAGGAACCACAGTATCTCCAGGCATCTGCAACACTGCAGGGCAGACTGGCTCTGTTTCTGCTTTGCTTTGTTTTCCTAGACTGTTTCTAAAGTGTGAATCCAAAACTAAACCTGAGCAATTTGGGAGCTTCTGGTGGGCTGGGGATAGAAGTGGATTTGGCTTTCTCATGGGCCCCATGACCAGCCTTGGGTGATTTTGCTGTCTTGGGAAGTTACAGCTGACATCCACAAAAATGGCATCTCCGTGGCTTTACAGATATATAAGCTGATTAATTGTCAATGTCATTTAAAGCCACAGGGCTACCTGAAAAATGTCAGAGAGCCCCAACAAATGCACACAGAGAAGTCTGAGGCTGTTTCTGTATGCTGATAGGTGTGTCTACACATTGTTTGGATTTTATTTTCCCACGTTAAAATCTGATAATGAAGACATCATGGGCTTTGATTGCTTTCCTGAGAAAACACAGACTGACATCAACACCTGAGCCTTCTGGAGGCCTTTTAGAAGCAGGCGCCATCTCAGCCATTTTGAGGCTCTCTCACTTCCTCACGACAAAATGGCAGTGCCCTCGGCCGCTCACTGTCCCCTGCGGACATGCTGAGCGCCCTCCGCCCTCGTGCCCTCTGCCCCTCGCCATGGCCGTGGGATCGCAGCCTTCACCTCCCTGCTGAGGCCAGCACTCGGTTAATGTTGGAAAGGTAAAAAAGAGCATACAAGAAAAGGACACATTGATGCTGTTGTCACAGTTGCCCTTCTAGGAGGTAGAATTTGGGGAAGAAGCTGTAAAAAAAAAATCCCTTCTGATCTTGTCATAGGTAAAGTGCTGTGGGTTTGGACAGTATTTTCTATGAGTATGAGTATGAGGTTTGGTTCTGCCCTAAGAGCTGTGTGTTGGCTTTCAGAACATGCTGGATTAGACTCGGTGTAGGCAACTTAGTTAAGAACAACTGCCATCTGAGGAATGGAAGAGATACCATAAAAGTACTTAACTTATATAAGATATAAAACTGACAGCCCTTGTCTGCCCCCCAAAATAAAATACTGTCATTACTGACACTGGTTCTTGGTACAGGTCTAACTTTATTCTATGTGAGAATGGCTATGCTCATAGTGACAGCATAAGCTACTTGTTTCGAATTTTGGTTACTGTAAAAATGTACATATCTCAGGGTTAAAAAAGCATCCTTCCAGAGATCAAGGCATCTGGACAACAGCAATAAAAACATTATAAAATTAGATCGTAAAACTCCATTTCAGATAAGCTTAATGCCATCAAACCCCAATAAACTCTGTCTCGAAATAGGAACGTCTCCTTTGAAGTAGAGAGGATAGCTAATACAACCTCCAGCGGCAGGGAAATTTAGGCTTTATGAAAATCTTCCATTTGATTTCATTGGTGCGGGATTCATCTAGGTTGCAATACGGGTAATTACTTCTATCTAGTGTGACCCAAATGCCCCAGTAATTGAAACCTGATAAAATTTGAAGCAGTGATCTCAAACAAATCTGACCCAGACCTGTTTTAATTTATGTTTAGTTAACATAATCTTTAGTGCTACCTTAGCTGTTGTTTTAAGATCTTTTTATGTAAGTATAGTCATTACAAATTACGCAATTGGAAATCTAGAAATATTATTGAGGCAAATTAGTTCTAACGACATTTCAAAAGTGTTAGGACTTTTACATAAACCTGATAGTGGAAGCTGATCCTTCCTTCCTCTATCTTCATTCCAGCTCCAATGACATTCTAAGTTTTACTCTCATGTAAATGGAAAAAGCATTAAGCAAATACTTTCGATTATTCTCACTCGCTTAAAATGGAGCACCTTCTATTTCACTTTTTTTTTTTTTTAGGAGAGAGGGGTAAAATTGATGTACTTTCTGAATTTAAGTTTCAGTGTACTCATGAGGGTCAGCAGATACAGTGTGGGCAGGGTTTTCCTGTAAGAAGACATGCAGCATGCTGGAAACCGCTGTGGTGTGCGAGGAACAGGAAGATTCCTGCATCCGCTGTACATTTTCAAGGTGGTGTTTCAGGAACATGGTATGCAACTAGCTCACCTCAGAACAGCTATCAGTGAAATTCAGTCCAGCAAATATTAGCTGTGCGTCCCTCATAGCCACAAATTAGAAGTCATTCAAGCACCTTTGGAGACAATGGCTGCAATGCATACCATGCACAGTGGAGCGATTCTCTAGGTGTATCCTTCAATCTTTTCCAGCCGTGCTTCAAATCTTTTACCAGAATGACAGAAAATGTTTCTAAAGATACATTTAAATAACACATGGTAATAGGTCTGTGATAAAAAGCATCAGACACAGCTATTAGATACCTAATTCTGGTGCTATTTCATTAGAAAAGGTGAGAAAAAGGGCATGTGTGCTAGCCATTCCTCAAATCTGGAACACATGAAAGGCCTTTAGGAGCCTGGCTTTTAAAAATATAGTACTGTATAATTTTTTTTTTTTTAAAAAAATGATAAATAGTTAAGCAGAACAAATCCTATATTAATGATGAAGAAGCCCAAATCTCATGCGTAATGTCTTAATAAGGAGGCACTATGCCTACTCCGGGGGCAGATCAGTTTGTCTTCAGCATGTGTGCTGTTCCTTGAGCTTTGATCCCATCCAACTCCACCCCAGTAGCAAGGGGACAGCATCATCTGCACTTAGTGCTGTGCAACCTGGGGGAGAGGAAGGTTAGAGACAAAGTAAGCACAGGGTTTGATGGAGCTGCCCCATGCTTGGGTGGCTCTGTTTTTCCCCCTAAGGAGTCAACACAAAGGGGAATGTAAAACATGCAACAAACAGCAGAAGGCTGCAGCTACAAATGTGGAGGGACCTGTGTTACAGCAAACATGTGGAAAGTCTGCAGAGCACCTCTATACTGGGGAAAAAGCCATGGTGCGAAATTGCAGAGACATGGCTGCCTCTGCCAGAGGGATCTGGCAGGCTTCATGCTTCTCTCCAGGAGGCACTAGGAGGTTTTCTTATTTTCTCTTCCTTCATGCAGCTCCCTTGATCAGCACTCCTCTGGAAACTGTGGATGCACTGGTAGAGGATGTTGCCAAGTTTGTCTGCGTAGTGGAGTCATACCCTGAGCCGGAGATTACATGGACTCGCAACAGCATTCCCATCAGGTAGGGAGCCGCCCCAGACCTCTCCAGCATCTCCCACCAGTGCTTGTTTCATGATAAAGAAGATACGTGGAAACATCAGAATGGGTCTTTGGCAGGGAAGAGGGTGACTGGCTATAATTACATAGGAGTACATTTTTCTTACGGTGAGATAGTAGCACCTGGAGGGTGCTCTTGCAGATTCATACACGTTCTTCGAGGCAGTTGGTTTCTGCCGCAAAAAATGCCAGAAGATTGCTCTCCAGCTACAGACAGTGCAGTCTATTTTGTTCCTTAGTTTATGGATTTACAAAGGAGGAGTATGCTGTGTGATATTTAAAAGAAGCATTGCCAGAGTTGTTGCCTGAGTGTCTACAATGTGCTTGGAAACTTTGCACAGAAGGTCATATCACAGTATTCTTGTTTGCTTCTGGTTCTGGATATGACCATAGGAAACTGTTATGTGCTGTCAGACATTAACCACCAGACATCAAGGTGACCCCAAAGAAGGCAGCCTTGGAAACATGTTATGGAAGTTGCTACCACTGCTTTAGCTCTGTTGAGGTACACAGCCTCTTGAAAAGTAAAGTGTACTGGATTGTTTAAATCTGAAATTTCACATTGTATCTGTCACATGGCTTCACATCAGTTTTTCATTCTAGGTTGCTTTTAGCTGCTCCCTCTGTGAGGAAAAATTACAGAACAATCTCTGTGTAACACAATTAAGGCCTGTTCTCCACAAGGGATGTCCATGTCAGTCAGATAGTCACCTGAAACATAATTCCTGCAAAGGGGGTCAAGTGTCCAAAGAACCCTTGAACCATTATGTAGGGATACTCCAAACAAATCATCAGCAGAAGGAAGTCTTACTGCTAGGAATGCTGTTTGGGAGAGGAGAAAAGCAGAGTGCTATGCATATGAGCCTTCAAAAGTCTTTTCTTTCATTGCCTGCAATAGAACCTGAGCAAAACCCTGGTCCTAATCCTCTGCCCCCAGATTTGTTGCAGGATGGGTCTGAATTTTCATGGATGTTATTTTCAGGTCAGGTCACCTTTCTCCTAATTCCTTCCCTATCAGCAACTCCATGCCTGAAAATCAACAGCAGGAGAGGAAGCCATTCATGCAGGACCATGGAGTTTACTTGCCTTCTCCTTCTTTAAAATTTCACTGTCTCTGTGTTCTGAGACAGTATGAAAACCAGGTCATTTCTCACCCCAGTCTCCACTTCCAGAAGCGCAACACACCTTTCTAAAAGCCATCCCACTTTCTCTGAGACACAGTGCCTTTTTCACCACCTTTAAAAAAAAGGAAAATACTGATCAAAGAAAGTCTGCTCTTGAGGCCAGAGAACTCAGATTCTTCATTCCTTTACTGGGGCTTCTGGGGAACATTAATAGCAACAACTTTTGCTTTCCCAAAGTTTTGTTGGCATTAGTAGTGGTGCTGGATACAAAAGCTTGGACCAAAATCAGAGAAATAGATAAGCTGAAAATACTTCTGTTACTTTTCAAGAACATCGATGAAAGTAGATGCACAATGGAAAACAATCGGATCAGTGGACTTTACTTTCTGAAAAAAACCCATAAATATATGCTTCTGTGTGTGTATGTATCAAACTTCAAAGAGGCTAGATATTGCAAGCAATAAATATCAGTTATTTACAAAATTTTCTTCTTTGCCAAAGTCCCAGCAACTTAAACAGATGACTAAGCTAGCCTTCAAAACAAAATAGTATGTAAACATTCAGCTTCAGTAGGAATAGTGCCAGGACAGAGGCTCTTGTCGGAACGAGTCTTCTGTAAGCTCCTCTCATTTTGGAGTCAAAACTTGTGCCAGTGGACTGGTGGGTGCCCTGTGCTGAGTAAAATGGTTTATCTGCCCTGTCTCCCAGGAGGGGGCTGCCTGGGCTGAGCCTTCCTCAGGGAAAGAAGGGAATGAACACTACATTTGACTTTTACAGGACAGATAAGTTCATTGTACTCTTTTTTCCTAGGGTGAAAAGGAGGAGGGTGTGATACAAGGCTGTAAGATGAAAGGCTGTTGAAAGGAAATACGTGCCTGTAACACCACAAATGGCATATTCAGATGACTTGGTGACTGCTGTAGGATTTTTAATTGCAAAAGAAAAACCAGGGCATTCTTAGGCATCAGCTATTTGAAATAGCTTGGGAGACAATCCTTAGGTCAGATCCCTTTTACTACTGTTCGCCAGAATCAAAGGCCAATTGCATGAAAATGCTTCCAAAAAGCATGGATGAAGGTGCGAACATCCAACATGGGGGAATTTATTAAATGTTATATTAACTTGTTCTGCTGAAGTTTTACTTTACTCTTCCAGTTTTGCAGTAAAAAATCAGAAGTCAGCCCTCTGCTTTCTCAAGACTTTTCTTTCTGTCTCTCCCTTCCTCTCGCACATGTACACACACACAAACAGTCATGCACACGCCTTGCTCACATATACAGCTGCTCTTCTCTCTGCAGACTTTGTTATAATACCTTCACTGCTCCAGCTTCAGGGCTTTTCTTGACTTCCCTAAAGTCTCCAAATTAAAGCCAGCTGTCATTAAACTATAACTACTTTTGCATCCTGTAATCTTCAGATGGCTTCTTTTCTTCAGCACATTTCTGTGCTTGTTTGCTTGATTTTTTGTTATTGTAATTTTATTTTTTTATTTACCAATAAACCCAACACTTCTATAGTTCCAAAAAAAAAATGGACTAAAACACTTCTGATGCAGATGCAAAAATATTTAGTTTCTGGTTTGCATCTCTTTTTCACAGCAGCAAAAATCTTTCCATAACACTATATGGTTAGTGAGAAAAACATTCTTATCCCTTCTTTTTTTTTAAATCTGCAGAAGTATTCTTTAAAATGCTTCAGCCAGTTCCTGTTCCTCTACAGGCACTGAGTGATTATAGCTAAAACAGGAGCCAGCTGGATATGATTACTTGTGCTCATGCCTGTCCTTGGCTTGGTAGAAACCCAACGGTGATACCTCGTTACTTTAGCAATAGAAGAAGGAACTGGAGGAAGAATTGCCACCGTGTTGGTGTCAGTCAGGAACTGCATGGTCTAGTGAGGCACAAACTGAACCTTCAGGCCCAGCTCAACATTTTCAATGCCTTCAGTTATCTTTGCAGTTTGAAAACAAAAAAATTAAATGTACTGCCATTTGTAGTGCTGTCTGGAGATACAAACACAATTTCCTCTTCCTCTCCCTCGCCATCCCCTCCACCACCCCTGACAAACTGTGCTGTGCCCTGCAGGCTGTTTGACACCCGGTACAGCATACAGAGGAATGGGCAGCTCCTGACCATCCTGAGCGTGGAGGACAGCGATGATGGGGTGTACTGCTGCACAGCGGATAATGGGGTTGGAGCGGCTGCCCAGAGCTGTGGGGCTCTCCAAGTGAAAATGCGTAAGTGGTGATGTAAATTTTTCCTGACTCCATGTGAGCATGCAATAGAGCGCCTGAGCAGACCCCCAGGTATGACCCCCCCGAGGGTCTCTGTTAAGGGCTGACCCATATTTCTACGTGGCTGGGTGCAGTCCCTTGAGGCAGAGACATGGTTTATGGGACTGTATCTTAACTAAAACCAGTTGTGATTGTTCACGTTGAATAACACACACTTGTGCCAGGGTCAGAGGACAAAAACCCATGCCTCGAAGAACACCCTTTGTGCAAAACTTCACAAAAGCAGCACAATTTTGTAGATTAGACCTCTGTGGCAATACTGCATAAATTCTTTTTGAATTTTAAACATAAGATTTCACTAATCAGATTTATGTCTGACGATGGCAAAAGCAAGCAATGCTGTTCAGATGTTTTTAATAGCAGTCTTGAAAGGTCTGGAGCACCATGATGTAAATCTCAGCATCCCATGTGGAAGGCAGAGGACTGGTTCTTGCGAAGAGCTCTATATATGCTGATCTCAGCTGAACTCACAGGGCTGCAGTTATTTACACAAACACTTAAAAGGGCAGCTGAGATATATCCTGGCTAAAGCATCGGTCTATAGGAAAGGGTTTGTTTCTGCTAATGAGCATGACCCTGCAGGTTTGGTAATTCTGGGACTCTCCGGAACTCTGGTCACCTGCAGGTGGAGGCCAGGGAGGTGATGCCCCCTGAATGTCATTTTTTCTGCTGGTTTAGTATTGTGAAGGAGAGGCAGAACTTCAGACTTCCCAAAACACTGAGGTGAAGATCTTTTTTACTGCCCGCTCAGAGTAAGCTAAGCCCTGTTTTACTTTGTGTAAAATGAAATTAAATTTATCTCATAGTTTTTTTTTTTTCTTTAAGGATCCTTTCTCCATTTTACTAGCATAGTTATAAATCTTTCGGTTAAGGACATACATTAATTGACTTTGCATGCCCTTCTTGTTGAGCTAGAGACAGGCCTGGGTTAAAACTATTCTAAAACCGATTCACTCCAGATCTGGGTTTTCACACAAGTCACTGTGTGAAGAATGTCAAAACATGGAAGGCAAATGTTCTTCAATATTGGAAATACTCTTATCTGGATTTGGATGTTAGCCCAGGCCCTATTTCAAATGACTGTCAAACTTCACTCCTGAAAACAAATAACCCCTGCAAGTTAGCTGCTTATGCATCCATAAACTGAAACTCTGAGTTCTGTGCTTAAGAAAGTTTTTTCTTTCTAAGGTAGCTCATGACCTTATAAAGACTGTTCTATCTTTCAGCAATGTACAGAAAAAAACAGCAGAGATTTTGTTGTCATTTCTCAGCTCATCCTATTCTAATATGTTTCAGCTTCAGCTCAACTTTAAGTTTTTAATTTTAAAATTTTAGGACCCAAAATAACCCGACCGCCTATAAATGTGGAAATAATAGAAGGGTTAAAGGCTGTGCTTCCATGCACTACAATGGGGAATCCAAAACCGTCTGTTTCATGGATCAAAGGAGAAATGGTTGTAAAGGTGAGTAAAGAATGAAATTTAAGTAATGCTAGATAAAGAAACTGTGTTAAAATATTAGCACCAGTTAAACCATTTGTAAATTCTAGTTGCTAGGAGGCAAGCATTTGGAGAATCCAGGGTTCATCTCATAAATATCTGCATCTGCAATAATTCTGCCTGTAAACCATTTTCTGTGTATCTATATTTTATGATACATATTTATTACTACTAAGCATGGTCAAATGCTGCTGAATGTACTTGTGATTGTTCTCATTAATAAGAGCTACTGAGCTGCTTAGCTAAGATTGAGGGTTCTTTTGAAGCTGTGATTCACTGATCTGCAAAAAAGAGGGATGGGTAAGTGTGTCATGACAATGCTGGGCAGGAAGAGCTGGCCTCAAATCTTTCACTTGTAGGACAACACAAAAAATTTTCATGCAGGTAAGCCCAATCTTTGCAAGTGGATATTTGGTGCTGCCTGCATGCAGAATCCTCATCTTGGTCGCTCCTTCCTCTGGCAGGAGAATGCTCGCATTGCTGTCCTCGATTCTGGGAATTTAAGGATCCACAACGTTCAGAGAGAAGATGCAGGACAGTATCGATGTGTAGCCAGGAACAGCCTGGGCACAGCCTATTCGAAACCTGCAATGGTCGTAGTGGAAGGTGAGTAATCCTTGCATCAGGCTCCAGCTCTGCATGCCAGCTCTTCATGCATACCCAGTTAACTGGAATTAACCTGAAGTATCACATTGCCATTGCAGAAAACATCCTGGGACGTGACCCAAAAGGCAGAAAAAGAGAGGGGAGAGGGAGAGGGAGGGGGAAAGGGAAAAGGAGGAATTTTGTCCATACATGCTTCTATTGCTGGCTGATGGTGAAAAAGACTGTCTATGGAGGGTCCTTGTCCACAGCTGCTGTGCTCTGGTGGGATACTTGTCTGAGTAAGGACTCACAAATGTTTTTCCTTCTCACTGGAGGTTTTCAAGATGCCAGCTTGTTTCTTATTTGAAAAGGCCCAAAGACCTCTGGGTTACACACTATGGTTTGTGAAGATGGACAAGGAGAAAGCTGACAGCCCTGGAAAAGCTCTGCAAAGAGCCTGATCAGAGAGAGCCGTAGTGCGAACAGTGAGCATTTTGCAGCATTATGTGTATGCCCTTTTCCTTTCCTCTGATTTTCCATCTGAATTGGTTTATTGTTCAGGTAAACAGAGATTTTCTCTTTGAGGTCTTGAACATTTTCTACCCGCTAAACTGAATACCGGATTGATTTTCCAGTTTCTGGTCTTTACATGCTCAGTGTCTCTCTCCTATTTACAGAAGGTGTTTGCTTTGTGGTATAAATCATTACCAGTTTCAGAGTGCTGAGAGCAGTGGGCTGCAGGGGAACCCAAATGTAGGCAATGAGGCATTGAATGTTCATGAATCCCATAAGAGAATTATAGAATCATAGAATGGCCTAGGCTGGAAGAGACCTTAGAGATCATTTAATCCAACCTCCCCATTATGGCCAGGGACGCCACCTCTCAACTAGACCAGGCAACACATGGGGACCGAGAAGTTAGGTTACACAAAGTTTGGGAGGAGGGATGACCGGCTTAGAAGATGAACTAATTTTTATTTCTTATTCAAAATGACTGTGCTTTAGAAAGTGGCCTAGTAAGCTTCAAAAGGTAGTTGCACGTTACATTTGTCTGAGGACTATCAAAACTTATTTAGGGTGCAATCTCATTTCTAAGAGGAGCATCAACTATCTTCTGGGAGCATGGTCAGGTCTATTAGATCCAACTACAAATTACTGTAAGTCTGCTCTT